CTCAACTACCCTTTTCCAAACCAATACTTTTTTTTGTCCTTTCTAAAACTAAACTTATCTAAATTTTAAATCCCTTACTGCGGGTTCCTTTTTGGAAGATATCCTCAAAACCTTTTTAAAAATCCCCTTTTTAATACCTATCTTCCACTTATACACTTTTTGATCAGGTTTCCCCTCATCTTCGTCTAAAATGAATGTAACTTAAGAGTCTTCAATCTTTTTTCATAAAGGGAAAATTTCTAATCTATTATTTAAAATTTTTTCATCCTACGTGAATGTTTTTTAAAAGAATTTATGTCCATTCTGAAAATGGGGACCAAATTGAGCTGCAAATTAGGGGGGCCTTACAAAGATGTATAAAGTGCAGTTGACCCTGGACTTCTGTTGCTTCACTTCTTGATATAAATCCCAGTAATCTATTTCCTTATTGTACGCTTGGCATTGCTGTTTGGTTTAAGGTTTGCTTACCATAACCCCCAAGTCCTTTTTTCGCAATCTGTATGGCTAAATTCACATTTTTTAACTTATAAGGCTAGGGTTTTGGGGGCCTTTTTGGGGGCTTAAACCTTGCATTTATCTACATTGAACTGCATCTGCCACTTTTTGACCAAGATGAGTTTGTTAAAACCTCCTGAAGTTCCCTAACTCTACTTTTGAATCAAATTTTCCCACCATCTTTGTGCATCGGCGAATTTGCTCATAACTGTTAATTCCTTCATCAAGACATTGATATATATTTAAAAAAAACAACGGGGCCCCAAGACGATCCCTGTGGAACGCCCCTTGTTTTGATCCCACTCGGGTTTTAACCCATTTTTGGACACTTCCCCGCTTTTCCCGTCTGTGACCTATTCGATCCACGAGGACTCTTTCCCCCAATGCCATAGCGCTACTTTCTTCAACATCTTTTTGGGGCGGAAATCTATCAAATGCCTTACAAAAACTAAATAAAAAAATATCAAATTCTTTATCGTGGTCAACAGCCTCAAAAGCTTTACTGAAAAAAGTTAATAAATTAGTTAGACAAGACCGGCCTCTTGTGAATCCATGCTGAGTATCATTAATCAAGCTATGCTTATCGAGATGGCTTCTTATAATTTGAGCTATAATTGACTCTAGTAATTTGCCTACAATTGAGGTCAGGCTTATTGGGCGGTAATTTGAGGGTAACGACTTGTCCCCTGTTTTAAAAATAGGAATTACATTAGCCATCTTCCACATATCAGACACTACACCTGTTTGAAGAGATAAATTAAAAATATTAGTTAATGGTTCACAGACTTCCATTTGCATTCCTTTAGAACCCTTGAAAAAACCTCATCAGGACCGGTGACTTATTTTGCTTCAGTCGGTCTATCTGCTTCACAACCATTTCACTAGTGACTATGATGTTACATAATTTATCTTCTTCTGGCCCACTATAAAAATTAAAATTACCGGAACACTACTAGTGTCTTCCTGTGTAAAAACCGAGAGAAAATAATTATTTAAAATCGAGCACATTTCATTCTCTTTGTCAGTAAGATGCCCATAGTTATTTTTAAGGGGACCTATCTTATCTCTGACTTTTGTTCTATATACCTGGAAAAAACTTTTTGGGTTAGTTTTAGAGTCCCTAGCAACTTTAATTTCATAGTCCCTTTTAGCTTTTCTTATCCCCTTTTTATGTCCCTCTTAGTGTCAATATACTGATTCATAAGATGACCCTCGCCTCTTCTGATACGCCTATAAATTCCTTTCTTATGCCCTAGTAGATATTTCAGCCTATTATTCATCCATTTTGGGTCATTTCTATTTGATCTAATTTCTTTATAAGGGATAAATGTTCTTTGAGCAGCATGTACTGTGTTCAGAAAACTGTCATATTGATAGCTCTCTTCGTTACCCCAGTCAACAGATGATAAGTGTTCTCTAAGCCCATCGTAATCTGCTAAGCGAAAATCTGGGACTGTTACTGAGTTATCCCTACTATCATACTTCCATTCAATTCTAAATGTAATTGATTTGTGGTCGCTAGCACCCAGTTCTTCTGAAACTTCTAAATTATTAACAAGGGATTCATTGTTTGCCAGAACTTAAGTCAAGCAGGTTATTACCCCTTGTAGGTTCTGTCACAAACTGCTTCAGAAAACAATCCTGAACTACTTCTAAGAAGTCGTTTGATTCTAAATTCCCAGTCAAGAAATTCCAATCAATATGACTAAAGTTAAAGTCTCCTAGAATTTCTACATTATCGTGCCTTGTGCCCTAAAAAATTTCCTCCCATAGTAGTCTTCCCTGGTCCCTATCTAAATTTGGGGGACGGTATATCACACCTAAAGTTAATTTTTCATGCCCTCTGAAAATTCTATCCAAACAGACTCTGTATGTGTTACTTCAGACTTAATACCCGTTTTTTAAAGCAACAGTTCAAGCGATCTCGGACATACAATGCCCCCCCACCCCCCTTCCCGATACTTCTATCTACTTGGAACAATTTGAAACCCTGAATGTGACATTCTGCAGGCATGTCCCGACTTTTTTGAATTAAACCACGTCTCAGTAATGGCAAATACATCTATGTTACCTGCACTAGCAACTAGTCTCAACTCGTCCATCTTATTCCTAGCACTGCGACTATTTGTGTAATATATACTTAAGGACCCTCCTTTCTCTTTATCATTCCTGCTCCTTTCTGTTATTCCACTAAACCTATTACTGTCCTTGTCAATTAGTGCCACTGGCCTTCCGAATCCACCTCATTTTTCCTATTACAGTTCTCCTAGTACTCTATTACTACCCTGAGACTTCACAGTTTTCCCGCAGAGACCCATACCACTAACTATTCCTAGTTTAAAGACCTAACAGCTCCCTCCCCTGCGTGGCACAGTGCTCCCACCCCACCCCCTAGACTAGTGAAACCCCCTCCCCTGGGATAATGTCATTTCCCGCCATAGAAAGGTCCCAGTTGTCAATGAATGTTACCGCATTTTCCCTTTCAGTATTTGGGCCAGCCAGCAATTGACACCAATTGCTCTGGGCAACCATTCATTCCAACTCCTCTCCTTGGGAAAATGCTACATATGACAGGTTTCCCACCTTCTTTCCTAATTATCTTTTATTGCTGACCCATACCTGCTAATCAGGTCCTCACTCCTACGTCTGCCAACACGTTGCCTCCAGCACTGAGACAGATAATAGGGTTGCTCCCATTACCTCTCATGATGTCATCCAGACGGCTAACAATATCCTTCATCCCAGCCCCAGGGAAAAAACACTCTCTGCCTCCTACTCCCATCCTTCAAACAGAATGCCTATCCATGTACCTAATCTGACTATCCCCAACAACGACAATGTTTTTACTTTCCTTGGCGTCGTCCGTAGGGGATGCTTTCCGAGTAGTCGACTCACATTCGCCAGGGAAGCATTACACACTTGTAGAATTCGTCATAACGTTCTCGATGGTCTTCGTTGGGGTTTCTAGGGATGTCTCACTCACGTCTGCCAATGCTTCCTTGGTGCTCGTTGTGGCATTCCCAGTAGAACACTCACATTCGTCAGGTAGCACCGAGAATGAGTTGGAAGTTTCCACGGCAGTCTTCGGGTTCTCGTTGTTTCTGCCTCTCCAACCGTTTTCTTAATCTTCAGCTTGGTTCCATGTTGCCCGGCCACTGACCAAGCTCCCCTCTTAACCTGGGGACTCACAACAGGAGGATTACTACGAATCCTCTTGTTCTCCTCCGTTAATCGCCGTATTTCCAGTTTAGCAACTCTGAGTTCTTCTCTCAGCTGCTGGTAAAGCTGCTCAAGAGAGGGCATCCTGGTTCAGATTCACAGAGAGCACACAAACAGGTCTTCACAGAGCTAAGTACACGTCACCACTGAGCTAAGTACACGTCACCACTCAGCTAAGTACACGTCACCACTGAGCTAAGTACACGTCACCACTGAGCTAAGTACACGTCACCACTGAGCTAAGTACACGTCACCACCCACATTGAAAGGCTATCTCTCCCTACCAGCGAACCACGTGCTAAGGGTTGACGATGGGGCCCCATCGTTCGATCAGTATCCAGGTTCCAGCCATTGAGAAGATGGTTTTGGCAATCGCAGAGGTGTTGTGGATACCACACACCTGTCTGTCCTTGTCATTCCCAGTCTAGAGCTAGTTGAAGCACGGTTTGCTCTCTAGTGGCTTCTATTCTGCCTTGTTTACCGCAGAGTGCACTAATACCTATTGTTGTACGTAGTGTATATAGTGTACATAATTCTTTTCTTACTTGGTGAAGAATAATATAAGTCATAAGTTTTTCTGCTGTGTTCATTTTGTTCCCTTTACACCCAGGATAACAGGCCATTGGATTCCTGAGTTGTAATATTCTAAAATAATCTCAGGGAAATATTGAATTATCTCAGTTTATTTACCCTAGTGAGTTAATAATACCAATAAAATCTTGTTTTATCCTGAGTTATATATCATCAGAGGATAATAATCTCTTGAAAGTCTTGTAGTAAATAATACAATGAATTTCTGTGGTCATTCTGTGTTATTAACTCTTATGTCCTATTGAAGTTTTAGTTTACCTTGGTTAATTAAATCTCAGTACCTAAAAAAGTATTAGGTTATTCATGCTTATTATCCATCCTGGGTTAATAATCCAACGAATATGTTCACTTATGAACTGTCGAGCTTAATAATAATCCTTAGAAATCCAAGATTATCTTGGGGTATTAACCCCTAAACCTTAATAATTCCATTAAAGTCTTGGGATATCCTGGGTTATTAACCCAACAAGGGTAAAAATCTCACGAATATCTTGGATTTTCATGGGTTATTAACCGTACATGGTTAATAATCCTAACAAAGCTTGGAGTTATCCTATGTTATTAAGCCTAAGACAGATTTGTAATCTATACATGCCATTGTTAACCATTGGTAACATTCAACGTTTAATGTTCTTCTGCGTTATTAACACCCAGAAAGACTTTCAATTCAGACGCTTGTGTTTCCTAACCCACAGTGACGGGAATCTGTCGCCCTGGAGAGCTGCTGGCTATCATGGGAGCTTCTGGAGCTGGTAAAACGACTCTTCTGAACGTTCTGACTCACCGCAACAACGACAAGCTTAGAATAACAGGAGATCTGTTTGTCAATGGTCGTTCCGTGGACCCCGACGCCCTCACCAGCCGTTCAGCTTACGTTCAACAGGATGATCTGTTCATCGGAATGTTAACTGTTAGAGAACAGTTGATATTCCAGGTTTGTTCATACCTTCAATGATTGCCCTGTAGTTGGAATAGTTAAGTTTTGATTCTATCTATTACATGAGGTTCATTAACGGTAATTGTATGTTACGTTTGAAGTCTATCGAAAACACTAGGGTTATTCAAGCTAAGTGTTCAGTTAGGGTCTAGTTCTTTATATAATACGAGGGAAAATAACGCAAGAAGATTGGTTAAGGTTACAGGCCATCAACTACACTCGTATCATTAAAAGTCACTGGATGATTTGGTTTAAATTTTAGTGTCACTAAGGCTAATGGGCTGGAAAGATACTTGGGTTTAAAGTTTATCTTCTTCACGAGGGTGATTATTGTTAATTGGCTGGTTAGGTTTAAAATCTAGCTAATACACTAGGGATGATAAGCTGTATGAATCCTGTGCACCACCAAGAGACTTTACAGCAGGATTAATGTCAATTCAGTGTAAGTAATTCAGTGTAAGACGTACACTCCTTAGTGCTTTTCTATGGAGACATACAGCATGTATATCCTCATATGTACAGTATATCCCTCATTGTTGACACACAATGTCAATAAGTGTCGGGTAGTGTTTACTCTGTGTTTGTTACACAAATAACTTTCGGTGTTGCTATGGGCTCTCCTCTCTCTCCTGTTCTTGCTAATCTTTACATGGAATACTTCGAGACTGTTCTTCTTCCTACCATCGATGTGCAACCTTCACTCTGGCTCCGCTATGTGGGTGACATCTTTGCTCTGTGGCCTCATGACTCTTGTTTCTTCCAACCTTTTCTTGATGCTCTTAATAATCTTGCCCCTTCCATTAAGTTTAAAGCTGATTGGGAATCTAAATCCTTGCTTCCTTTCCTTAATGTTCATGTCCACCGCTCAGATACAGGTTTTTCCTTTTCCGTTTACCGTAAACCTATGCACAGTGGCATGTACATTCACTACTTTTCCTATCATGCTTCCCCTGTCAAGAAAAGTGTTCTTATCTCCCTCTTTCTCCGTGCCCTCAGCATCTGCGATCCTCAGTTCCTTCCAGCAGAAATTTTCACTCTTCATAATTCGTTTTCTCGTCTTGGCTACCCTTCCCATTTCATAGACTCTGCCCTCTCACGTGCTAAACGTAATTTCTTCTCTCCCAAACTCTCTACTCATTAGAACTCTTCTGTCCTCTGCCTTCCCTACATTTCCGGTCTTCCTAACCTCAACAATTCTCTCCATCCCTTAGACATCAAGCTTACTTTCCGCCAGACTAACACTCTTCGCACTAATCTCGTTCATACCTCTCCTCCCTCTACAGATGTTCCTGGTGTCTACTCTATTTCTTGCTCCTCCTGTCCTCTTCAATACTTTGGAGAAACTGGCCGATCTCTTTCTGACAGACCTAGGGAGCACAAAAATAGTGTTAGGCTTGCCGGCACTAACAATGCTCTTTTCTGTCATGTCAGAGGTCACAGCCATCCTATTGACTAGTCTTCTGCTAAAACTGTCTTCCCTACTTCTGGTTGAATCCTCCCTAATACACAACTTTCCTTGTATGAATCTTAGTCCTAGCTTCGTCTCTGTAGATGTCTTCCTCTCCCACTACATTGTAAAATGCTCCAAACTTCAGAACACCAATGACTTAACCTGATTTCTCCTTTTTTCTTCTTCCTCTTCCCCTTTCCTCTTTCCTTTTTTCTTTTCTCTTCTGGGTTGTCTTTGTTTCTTCTGTCTTGTGTTTCTGTTCTTTCATTATTTATTTCATTACTTCCCCTCCCCCCCATCTCTGAGTTCTTGCTCTCCCTCTGTGGGCACCTAGCTCCCTTGCAGTGCTCCCCTTTCTTTGTATTTAACTGGCTCCTCCTCCTCCTTAATTCCCCACTACCACTACCACCACCACTACTACTACTACTACCACCACTGCCTCTTCCTGCCTATATATACCCATCCTGCTCCACTTCTGGTTAGTGTGACTTTGTAAATGGCCCAAGTCGGACCGAAACGTCGTCGTAAGCCCCTCTCTTCTATGTGCGGGTTATTTGTGTATCGTTCCAGTCACGGTATTGTGCCTTTTTTTTTTTTTTTTTGGTATTTCTGTGTTTGTGTTATTCTTACTCAGATTTTTACCCTTTACAAAATATGTGACTCATCACATTGTGACCAGTCAGAAATTTCTTATCCTTCTCTCTTCTTGTTTACCATCAACCTTTCATACTTTTGCCTTCTTCTCTGTCTACAACGTTTCACGTACTTCTATTCCTATCTTCCACTTTATCTACAACCTTTCCTTCCTCTCTCTTCCTATCTTCCCAAAACTTTCTTTTCCTTCTGTCTTCCTGTCTAGCCACAATATTTCTGTCTGCACACCACTATATTCCCATAATTTTTAAAACCTCTCTTCCTGCTTTCCCACAACATTTAATAGTTTTCTCCTTTTATCGACCCACACCTCTCTTATGTCTTCCTTCTGTTTCACCCATAACGATTTTCACTGCTTTATCGTCTACAAGTCCTTTCCCTCAACTTTCTTGCTGTCCTCTTACTCTCTATCCTACTCCAGTCCTTCCTCATTCATCCTTGGTTCTTGTCCTTCTCCACTCCTTACTTGCCCTCCTTCCCTTTCCTATTCTGGTTATTCCTCGCATTCATCATCGAACCCCAGTTCTTCTTCTCTTCATTCTTACCACTCCACTAATGCTATATTTCATCACAGTTCTCTCCCACCTTTTTATAGCCATTCCTTGTAATTACTATCATTCTCCAGGTCTTCCCTCTCTCCATTCTTCCATCATGTGCTCCATCCTCTCCCAAGTCTTTTTTAATCTTCTTTCTTGCCTTTTATGCTCAATCACATTCCAGTCCCTCCCTTCCCCACTCTTGCCTCTTGTCCGTTATGCTTCCTAGTCCTTCTCCACCCATTTATCCATTCCTCTTATTTTATAACTTACCCCTTTCCTTCCTCTCTCCATTCTTGCTATCTATTCTATGTTCCATTCTAGCCCGGTCCTATTCCATCCCCATTCTTACCATGTAGGCTTAGTGTATTTAGAGTGATTTACACCTTCTGCTACAAAATTTCTTGCAAAAATGTAGTCCATTAGCCTTGTAATTAATAGCGAATAAAGTATCCTGTAAAATAACAGAAGAATTAGTTTCTGTTACATACATTTTATTTAAAAAATGCTCCTGTTCAAGATTTTACCCTTCATATAACTTAAGACTTTCTTACCTTCCAATATGTTCTTACAATGTTCACAAGCAACGTGAGGTGCCCAGGTCTTGTCTTGCTTCCCAACTGGCATACCAAAATATTCTTGGTAAGCTTCACACATTTTTTAGATGCTGCTACAGAGAATTTCTTTGCTCTTGTCTTAATGAATTAACCACATATGTAGCAGAATCCATCTGGAGAATGATTGCAGCCTCTTGGTGCCATTTCACCTCTTCTGATGTGTCTTCTTAGGCAACCAGAGCTGAACTGAATGCTAGTTTGTGAGCCCCTGATTTTATATTTGCCAAGCAAAACCCTAGAACATAATAGTTTTACATCAGCCTTTCTTGAAAGTGTTCCAGAAGTGTCCTGACCACAAAAGCAAAGTTCTGGGATCAAAATTGTTTTTTTAAATTTTGTTTAGTTGTAAAGAATTGGGAAATGATGCTTATTTCCCAGGAACACGACAAAAGTGAAATTTTCTTCCACAGTGTAATCTGTTTCCCATAAAGTTTTGTCCTCTATACATGAATGAATTAATCAAATAGTCAGAGATAATGTTAAGGCCTCGCTCAGCAAACTTCTCTTGGAGGCAGATGAAGGTGAACTGACAATACAAGTGTACCAGCGAAAAGGTTACCTCGTACATTATTATACAGTTAGTTTGGGCTTACCTAGCTACCTATATATTCTATAGCAACAAAAATTAAGAGTACTGCTTGAATATGTAAGTGTGAGCCTAATACAAGAAAAGCAACCTGAGGCAGATGTATATCAGTGATGGTTCGATCCGAGAAAGAGATCCCTGTATTGCAGAACTCAAGTTCCTTGTACCTCAGTACACGTGACTGGAATAGTGCAGAATGTGGCATCAGTTTGCAATGAACTTAAATATTAGAGTGTAGATATGAAGTGAATCAGAAGAGTCATTCAGAATCCATCATATGAAAACTAGTATCAGAATTCATTTAAAAGAAATGACAGATTCGGACATACAAGGCCAAAATCTAATTCACACAAATCATTTAGAAACATCAGCTTTGAAGCTAAACTATTATCTGAGAGAGATAAATATCCTAAAATACACTGCCTGAAGACACTCACACAGTGACAGGGATCTTGATCCCTTGAAACATACAGAGGTTAAAAAGATAGTATATATATGCGGAGAGTGAAGTGTGAGTGACACATGGAGACTGAAGAATGCCATATTGGGATGAAGACGGGTACTTATATAGCAGTTCGTCTCCTTCCATTCCCGATATCGTTTCTACCAGCACTGAGGCAGATAATGAGATTGTTCCCATTACGTACAAGATATTATTCAACCTGTTGACTATGTCACCAACATCAGCCTCTGGGAAACACATGCTTTATCTTAACATTTCATATATTTTTACTGTGAATCACCGATCACAAGGATATTCTTATCTTTATTAAAAGAGAAGTTGATGGTACCGTTATCCTCACTGACCACTGAAGTACATTAATTCGGGAGAACAAAAAAGCGGTTCCCTATTTTCAAATCTGCTGTTTTAACCTTCCTTACTTTGAAGTCTCTTCCTTTACTGTAAACCATCTTCCATAGTTACTGCTGCCAACTTGTGGCACACTGCTGGTAATCTGTTACCCTTCACTACCCCAACCACCTCACATTTATTGTAATACTTATTTAGGTGAATTTTCAGGCACACTGCCTCCTTCAAAAGTGGAACCTCATCCTTCGGCACCTGTTAAACAATACAGAAGCAAGCCAAGGTGTTCTTAGGACAGGTAGTAACTTCACGTGACTCACCTCAGTAAATTCACTACTGTAGGTTT